ATATATAATTTTTCAAAAATCTATTAATTGAAATTATAATTTTATTTTATTTAAAAATTAACTAAATTTATATGTTCAAAAAGTTATATAAACATATTTGTTTATTATAAGTTTTAATTATAATACAATTTTTTTTATTCCAAACTATTTTTTCTGGTGATTTTTTTAATTATATAAATTAAAAATTTGTCTTATGCATTTCTCAAATCAAAATATTAATTATTTTTTTAAAAAAATTGTTTTTTGAACACAGTTGAATACATACTTTTTTTGTGAATACACAGTTGAAAATATTTATCTCCTAAATATATTTCTGTTTTTCTAAAATTTCGTCCTACGCACAGTTGAAAAGAAAAGAAAAAAACAGAATAAGAAAAAGAATATCTAGCTGTTTCTATACTTTATAGTTTTTAAAACTTAATAAAATTGGAATGAACATTTAACTATCGAGTAATGTAGATTTATTTTAAAAGTCTACGCTCTACTCAACGTCCACGGTCCATGCTCGATTAAATTTCTACAAAGACCAAATGTGTGTTCGTATTTGTATTTGAAACTTCAAACCCAATTGAGTCTGCAGTTGCAATCTTCCAATGGTGCTTAAAATTGATTGGTACCACTCGCTCTCACCTTTTATTCAAACTTCATTGTGGACTACTCCACCCTTTTGTGTTGGAAGATAGTAGTAAATTTAATTAAGAGAACAATTCCAAATGTTTCCAATACATATTTTAACATTGTTAATTTATTAAATAGATGAATTATTAAACATTATCTTAAACTATACTACCTTGTAGTTATAGATGCACTGATTTAGATATATATTATGATTATAATAATCGTACCTTATTTATAGACATACATTAGAAATAAAGTAACTTTAATTTTTTAAAAATGCGTGCAAGGAGTAAGAGAGAGACACTTTTGTCACCTATAACTAAAAGTCCCAATCACTCACCTGCAACTGCAACTGCAACTCAAGAGCGCACCCGCGCCTGAACGCACGCTTCGTCTCATTCACACGTGCCACAGAAGCGAGCGGGACCCCATGGTAGCCCCGTGAGGTCGCCCATACCGTATTGAATCATATGACCGGTCGCGGCAGTACCGTTTTAAAAAAATTGTCCACTTTATCGGGTCACACCAAACAGAGCAGAAAAAAAGTGAAATCAAATGAATATTGATTTCACGTCCGCTTCTGAACTTCGAACCCAAACCATTCAAACGCAGAAGATGAAGCTGAAGAACCTTGAAGAGAGTTAGTTACTGTGAGGCTTGGCTTCTCTCAGGAAACGTTCAGGGTAGTAACGGTGAGGGCCTACAATCTCAACCGTTAGTTTTTTCTAGCCGCCGTGGATGGGCCAATCTGCGTCCTCCGCTGCTGTCGCTAGCCGTCGCGAGAGGGACCAAGGCCAACGCTCCGTCAACGTCTCCAAGACCAGATCCGCCGCCTCGGTTTCGCCGATGGTAACTTATTCAGCCGGCGAAGAAGACAGCGAAAACCTTAGCGTCGAAGCAGTTACCGATGGAATTGCTGACTACATCTCCGATCTCCCGAACGAGTGCGTGGCTTCGGTGTTTCAGTTTCTCGGCTCCGCCGATCGTAACCGCTGCTCGCTCGTTTGCCGGCGGTGGCTGCAGATCGAAGGACAGAGCCGTCACCGGCTCTCGCTGAACGCTGAATCGGATCTCCTTCCGGCGATTCCGTCGCTCTTCTCTCGCTTCGATTCGGTGACGAAGCTCGCGCTGAAGTGCGACCGCAGATCCGTGAGCATAAAAGACGACGCGCTAGTGTTGATCTCGCAGCGGTGCCCTAACCTCACGCGCCTTAAGCTCCGCGCGTGCCGCGAGCTCACCGACGCCGGAATGGAAGCGTTTGCCAAAAACTGCAAGGGATTGAAGAAGCTCTCGTGCGGATCGTGCACGTTCGGATCCAAAGGCATGAACGCGGTGCTCGACAACTGCGCCGCGCTGGAGGAGCTCTCCGTGAAGCGCCTCCGCGGAATCACCGACGCGGCAGCGGCGGAGCCCATCGGTCCCGGCGCGGCTGTGTCGTCGCTCAGAACCGTGTGTCTGAAGGAGCTCTACAACGGCCAGTGTTTCGGAACGCTGATTCTCGGCGCGAAGAATCTGAAAACCTTGAAGCTTTTCCGGTGCTCCGGCGATTGGGACCGCCTCTTCCAACTGATGGCGGCTCGAGCCGCGAACATTGTTGAGGTCCACCTCGAGAGGCTTCAGATTAGCGACGTTGGATTGCAAGCAATCGCGAATTACTCGAGTCTGGAGATTCTGCATCTTGTAAAGACTCCCGAATGTTCTGATATCGGACTTGTTGCTATTGCAGATAGGTGCAAGCTTCTGAGGAAGCTTCACATTGATGGATGGAAGGCGAATCGAATTGGCGATGAAGGGTTAATAGCTGTTGCAAAAGGTTGCCCTAATTTACTTGAACTAGTGCTTATTGGGGTTAACCCTACCAAAGCGAGTTTGGAAATGTTGGCGTCTAATTGCCAGAATCTTGAGCGTTTGGCTTTGTGTGGAAGTGATTCAGTTGGTGATCCTGAGATATCTTGCATTGCTGCTAAGTGTGTGGCGTTGAAAAAACTGTGTATTAAGAGTTGTCCTGTTTCTGATCACGGCATGGAGGCATTGGCGAGTGGTTGTCCCAATTTGGTAAAAGTGAAGGTTAAGAAGTGTAAGTTGGTTACCCCAGAGGGTGGGGATTGGTTGAGGAGGACTAGGGGTTCAATTGCTGTTAATTTAGATACCGGTGAGGCAGAGCTTCAGGAAGCGAGTGCTAGTGATGGAGGGGTACAGGATAATGGTCTGGAGTTTCCTCCAATGCCCGCCCAAATTGCGGCAGCGGCAGCCACCGCGTCTGGCAGCACAGCTCGGTCTAGTTCGTTCAAGTCAAGATTAGGGCTTTTGTCTGGGAGGAGTTTAGTGGCTAGCACTTTAAGAAGATGGTCGGGTGGTAGCACTAGTGCGCGCCATGGTTAGGGACTAGGCCAAATCCAGCCTGACTCTTTGACCATTTTTCATTGTTTTGTGTTGTATCATTTTATTTTCATATTTCTTGTACTTAAATTTGAATATGCCGTGTGATGTTTATTGCCTTTGGAATTGAAGCTTCACGGTTGAAGTGATGATCACATCGTTTTCTTTCTCTTTACAATTGTTGTTGGTGCTCTGCTCTGTTTGGTTAAACTAAGTTATGTGTCCCCTCGCTCATTCAGAGCATATCATATCTGATTCATGTCACATACACACACAGGGTAATACTACATGTTAAAAATATGGAAGTATATAAACTTGGTCACATGCGATTGTTTGTTTGCTTGTCTGTATATTTTAAACAGTCTTTCTCTGTTGAATTTTGTCAGGTTCACATTCATATTCACATTCCCTAGCCTAATACAGATAACTATGATTATGATTGGTGTATCTATGTTGCAAACTATAGTGTTGTGTCAGATGTTTGATATGGAATGGCAGCCAGAGAATATGCTTCGTTTTCTGTTTATATCTGTTGGGTGATTACAATAGTAAGAAAATATGACTGGAGAAAAAATGCTCTCTTGTATTTAGGTTTTTTCATTTTGCTTATGACACCTGTTTGGCTCTTTTGGGGTGCAACTGAGCGTATCCAGTCTAATCAAATATATCTAAGGCTTCTGATGAGTTTGACATGATTTGATTTATTTGGCAGCAAGCAGGTGACAATTTATTTGCATCCGTTGTCATTTTGGAAGACAAGGGCAAGTGATACTTAGCTGATTAAAAAAAGAAATCAATGAACTGCTTTTCATTGTTTAATGCACCCTGCCTTCCTCTGAGTTTCTCCTGCTAATTGTATAAATTAATTAGTTTATGCATAAATTATTTTTAATTATATAGAAGTTAAAAAAAAAAATTCTTGGAATTGTTCCAGAAGTAGTATACAAGAGACCCAAAATCGATGTAGTTTGAGTCTAGAGGTTAAAAGTCTCGAGGGTCTAGTGGGCTCTATATGTTGCATCCTTTATTTTGTTTGAAGAGTTTTTTTGGTTTCTCATGTAGATTACGTTGATTTATCATTTATATGTTTACCTTGTGCATTTTGTTGCCATTCTCTGGCCTAGTATTCCTCCTCCCCTTCCTCTTCTATGCACAGTTTAATGGGGGTGCTTTAACATGCGCTTGAGGTGAATTTCTAGATCATATTTTCGTGCCTTGATACATGTAGTCGGGACAATTTGTTTGAGGCCAACACATTCGTTAGAGCACCTCTAGCGAGGGGTGCTTATATTGTATCTTAAAAATAAGTAACGGTGCTTACAAGAAATTTTCAATGGAGTGATCTTACATGACAAGAGAAGATCCAATTTTTTTAGTTACGTTGCTTGAAGAACGAATGGTGCTTAGTACTATGAAATGTGAAATGGAGAGGTTTGATTGGTTCATCTGGATTCAAGGTGGAACGTGGACACAAATTTTGCAAACAACAACAGATGGGTCTCCCGCTTCTCCCTCATGGCCCACTCCCTTCACTTGCTCTCCTTCTCGGCCAGCTGGGGTCACGACCAATGGATGTCGACCTCCGGGGGCTGGTCGTCCAACTCGCGGGTCATGTGTGCACGCGAACCTCCGGGGTGAAGTCGATCGCATCAGTTGGGCACGAGGTCCTCTGGGCTAGTGTCCATGTCCTTAGTTGTGCACGCATCTTCGGGTGGCGTGGATCTCCTCAACCACGAGGGCCTCCTGGCCGGGCTGATCTCCTTAGTCGCGCGCACCTCCTGGCCAGGTCGATCTCCTCGGTCGTGCGCGAAGGTCTGGGCCGGCTGATCTCCTAATCTCCTCAATCGCGCGCGACGTTCAGGCTGGGGCCGATCTCCTCAACCGTGCACGCACACGTCTGGGGCGCCCAATCTCCTTAGCTGCACATGTGGACGTCCGGGCCAACCGATCTTGTTAGTCGTGCGCACGAACGTTCAGGCTGGCCAATCTCGTCAGACGTGCGCACCTCCGAGCTGGCCTGATCTTGTTAGTCGCGCGCTCCTCCGAGCGGTCATTGATGGTGAGGGTGGCAATGATGGATAAGGGTGAGGGTGAGAGACGCATGGAACGAGAGAGTCTTAGCATATATATGATAGTTTTATTTTAATCATAGGTGTAACCAGGGGTTAGAACCTTAGTTAGTCAGTGGGTCAATTGTTTGTTTTCATAACACACTTATATGTATATATAACAAATATAGTGTTATCAAATTAATAACAATGATATACAGAAAATATTTTCTCTTCTTATTTTCTTGCTGCGTTCTTTCTCCTCTTTGGTTCTTTCTTTTCACCTTTCATGGCTGATACCAATTATATGATGGTATCAGAGCTCTTATTTTGAAGAGCTCTGCTGCGCACGTTAATCTCCAAAAATCATCCTCCTTTTATCTTTTGATCGTTACTTCTCCCACTTTCGTCTCTCACAATATGAGCGATAAAGAAGATTCATCTCTCAATATACACAGTCCTTATTATCTCTATCCTGGAGAAAATCCAGCAGCAGCTTTGGTCTCTCCCGTTCTTGATTCATCCAATTACAACTCATGGAGTCGTTCTATGCTTACCGCTTTGAGTGCGAAGAACGAATCTGAATTCGTTGACGGCTTAATTCAAAGACCTATGTCAACAAACTCACAATATACAGCTTGGAAGAGGTGCAATAACATGGTGGTTTCATGGTTAGTTCATTCTGTTTCTCCCCTGATTAGACAAAGCATATTATGGATGGATAATGCACAAGAAATCTAGAAAGATTTAAAGTCACGATATTCCCAAGGAGATCTTTTGAGAATATCAGATTTACAACAAGAGATAGCTTCCATCAGGCAAGGTGACAGATCCATAACAGACTATTTTACTAGACTACGCATAATTTGGGATGAATTGGAAAGCTATAGACCCGATACTATGTGTGTGTGCAAAACAAAGTGTTCATGTAGTGCACTCGTCACTGTCTCAGAAAGAAAGAAACAAGATCGAGTTATGCAATTTCTTAGGGGATTGAATGATCAATTCAACATTGTTAGGTCCAATATTCTAATGATGGAACCATTGCCTAGTATTGATAAAGTATTTTCTTATGTTGTTCAAACAGAAAGGAAAATAAATAGTAATGATCTGTTGGGAAATACTAGTATAATTAATGCAGCAAACACTAATTCATCAAATTCCCACCTTTCTTGCAATTTTTGTGGCAAAGATGGCCATATTGTTGACAGATGTTATGGGAAAAATGGTTTTCCTCAGAATTTTTCTTCTAAAGGAGGCAGAGCTGGCTCAGGAGGGTTTGGTCGAGGAAATTCAAATGGTAAAGGCACTAAGGTTTGTACTCACTGTGGTTTTACTAATCACACTGTTGATGAGTGTTATAAGAAGCACGGATATCCACCTAGGCACAAGTATCATAAATCAAATGGTTCATCAATAAACAATGCTAATGCTGTAAGGGCAGAAAATGGCAATACTGAAGCAACACAAAATCAAGATGCTCAAGATACAGATGTTCGATTGACTTCTAAACAATATAAAGACTTAATGGCAATATTACAACAGCAAGGAACCTCTCTTCAGGGTGACTCACATGTAAATCAGATTGGGACCATCACTATTCCTAAAAATGCACCTATAGGTAATATGTTATCAATTACTTGTTCTGTAAACAAGATGTGCAACAATGCTTGGATTTTGGACTCAGGTGCTATAGATCATGTTACTTCCTCTATCAATCTGTATTCTTCCTATAGAAAGATAAATCCTATTATTGTTAAACTTCTTACTGGTCATACGGTCACTGCAACACATGTCGGAATTGTTAAATTTTCTAATTCATTCTATCTTGAGGATGTTCTTTACATACCCACTTTTCAATTTAACCTGATTTCCATATCTAAGATGCTAATTTCCTTGCCTTGTAAGCTAACCTTTGTGGCCAATGATTGTTTCATTCAGGATATGCAAACACTGCAGAGGATTGGTACAGTTGAATTGGTGGAAGGTCTTTATAAGCTCACCATGGTTCCTACCCAGCCACATCAAAAATCTCCATCCAGTTCTGTTTTTCATAATAATTCAGTTTTATCATGTAATAAAGTAGCTATAGACCTTTGGCATTTTCGATTAGGCCATCCCTCTTTTGAAAGGTTACAATTGCTAAAGAAAACATACCCTTTACTTTCAGCTGATAAACAATTTGTATGTCAAACATGCCATCATGCTAAGCAAAGGAAAATTCCATTCCCTAATAGTGATTCTCGATGTCTTTCTCTTTTCTCTCTTATACATGTTGATATTTGGGGCCCTTGTCATGTTACTTCATTGACTGGTGATAAATACTTTCTTACCATAGTGGATGATTATTCTCGATATGTTTGGATATTTCTCATGAAATCTAAAGATGAAGCACAAACTCACTTAAAGTCTTTTGTCACTTTTGTTGAAAGACAATTTACCACCAAAGTTAAAATGATTCGGTCAAAATGGATCAGAATTCATCATGAAACAGTTTTATGCTGATTCTGGTATTATACACCAAACCTCATGTATTGAAACTCCACAGCAAAATGGAATTGTCGAAAGGAAACACCAACACTTACTCAATGTCACTAGATCCTTACTTTTTCAATCTAATTTGCCTCCTGTATTTTGGTCCTATGCCTTGAATCACTCAGCTACACTCATAAATTGTATGCCAACTCCATTTCTTAATAACAAAACCCCCTATGAAATGCTTTATGGACAACCTTATGATATTACCACTTTGAGAGTTTTTGGTTGTCTTTGCTTTCCTAGCATATTATCTGCAAACAGAAAGAAGCTAGATCCCAGGTCTATTACCTCTATTTTTCTAGTATTTAAACCGCATACAAAAGGGTATGTGACTTTTAATCTTAAGACTCGGGCTATTAATATTTCTAGACATGTAATTTTTTATGAAGACTATTTTCCATTCAATGCTCATAATCAACCTGATCCTATTACTATTCTACCTGTCCCTACAACCCCTTTCCCTGATGATATTGAATTACCTGATCCTGTTACTGATCATAATTCAGACCCTGTTGCCCCTACATATTCATCTCAGGCACCTAGAAGATCAGAAAGACAAATTCACAGGCCAGGCAAATATAAAGACTTCCAT